TATTGAAGAACTGTTTATTTTCTTTGTGATTGTTTTGCATAAAATCCTCGAACCTGAATCTACGTAACAATATAAAAAAAATTCATATTAACAGGGGATGTATGAATAGTTTTCAAATTTTTAAATTTATGAATAAGTGTTTATTAAGGTCTCTCTAAGGGCTACAGGTGTTGGATCTTGTCATTTTAAACCATGGTCAAGTGCCGAGGACAACACCGGGACATGACCCCTACTCCAAACTCCCTCGCCTCTCGAACTAGAGGACTTGGTTGGGTCCTATAATAGCCCATCCCTTGTCTTTGAACTCTTCTGTCGCTAAGCTAGACGATAAGTTTACCAAGCTAGCAACCCTTTTTTTTATTCGTTGAAACAAAAGACCATTATTCGTGACCGTTTGGTATCTGCAATTAGTAATTTTCGCTAGTTACGTTAGCTTCGGCAACCTTAATTACTATATAAGCTGTAAAAATAAAAAAAATCATTTTTTCGACGTTTTGCTGTTCTTCGATAATGTACATGCGATTACTGGTTATCGTTTACAATGAGACAAAAGCAAGGTTAAACTGTTTATTTATTTTTAATTTTGGGGGAAAAGGTGGTAATTATTTGATGGTGCGTACGGAAGAAAAATGAAATTGATGGAGATGCCGTTTGAAAGGAGGAAAGAATCCGCATGATTAAAGAAAAGGTACGTGATTCAGCTAGTTATTTGAGTAATTTTAGAATGAGTTACACATTTTTGAAAAAACTAAATCACACAGAAATTTGTTAAAAAAGTTTTAAAAATTTCAATTTTTCTCCTTCGAACTTCGATGTCTTCTTTTCAGAATGTTTTCGATTTGCTATTTTTCAATATAATTTAAAAAATTCCATTTTTTGTCTTTCGAATAGCAACTCTTTCTTGTTAGAATGTTCTTAATTTCCCAGTTTTGGAAACTAAACTTCTTTATTAATATGTTCTCTCAACGTCTTAAAAATATCCATTTGTTTTTCTCCGATTCCTTCTTTTCGAAATGTTCTGCATTTAATATTCTTGAAAAGTTACATTTTTAATGGAATTGTTCCTTAAGCTGTAAAAATTCCTATTTTTAGAAAATAAATTTTACATGAATTCGTTCTTAAAATTCCTAAACGTTTTTTTTTTCTTTTCCATTCTTGCTTCTTCGGACAAAACGCCATTTTTTTTTAGTTTGCGTGGACTCGACCTTGAAAAACGCGCCTTGGTGCCCATTTTGTGCATCTTAAAAATGTTCGCCAAGGAGTGGGCTATAATAGGAATTAACCATTACTGAAACGATTATATGAGCAGAAATAATAGCACACAAACATATAGTTTTCTTCGAAAAAATTTTAATTCCTTTCATTTATGACACTGTTCCATTACACTTTTTTACCAAATGCTTGCTATTGTTTACTTCTTTTCAAGCAAGCACCTAGTTAAGAAACAAACAAAATATCTAATAACACTATAAATGCAGGAAAACAAAAATTACATCATACACGAAGGCTAGAAGCGCAACCATAAGATGTGGCCGTGGTAGACTAGTGGTCAAGGTCATGAACTGGCGAACGTCGCCCTCGACTGCGGTTGAAATTTACGACATCCGTCGCCAATAGCCCTCATGTTGCTTTAGAGAAGGGATATTCAACCTTTTTTTCTGATGGGCCGCATACATATGTCAACTACTTCACGATGGGCCGCATACGTATGTTAGCAATTTCACGCGGGCCGCATCATGAGGATAATGGGGGGTTAAAATGTGAAAAATTGGTCAAAATATTTTAACTCCTGTTTTGCTTTTTTAATTATTATTTTTTATTTTTGTCACTAACACTGAATTAGAAGCATTTAAGAAACACTCCTTCACAATTTCTGCATCTCTCAGTAAACGGTTTCATATGATTACCAATAATGTACCAAACTTCATAAGATGTCTTTGTAACCGCTGTGACATTACCACCGACAAAACATTCTGCTGCTGTAGCAAAGATTCTTAAAGAAGGCCTATTTATTACATCTTGAAAGAGATCTTCGAGAAAAAGTGTCATTGAATGATTCTTGTTTTTTTGGTATTTTTTAAATTCAGCACTTTCGTGACAAATCAAACCATTACTGATCTATGGTTGTTTTACACTACAAAATAGCCAACCTCCCAATCGTCTTGAAACGATCTATTTTCTTTCGGATATTTTTCGCTTGCAAGATATGAAAGAGAGTTAAAATTAGTTTCACCCTTAAAACTATCACTACTCCACTGTTTGTTACAAATAGAAAAAGAATTTCAATTCGCACTCGTACGACATCGACAACAAAAACCTAAATTTATATATTTGATTTCTTGATATCAAATTTTTAATATATTGTTCTTAAATAAGTGGATTTTCAGAGCAATGGGCACTGACCGGGCCACTTAAAAAGGGCCGCAGGGTGAATATCGTTGCTTTAGAGTGTGACGTCACTCATTTCTCAATTGTTCAAATTCCCAACGAACCAACTGATTCGAATACTGTGTTACAAATTTCAAAAACTAGCTCAAACGTTTTGATGCAAAAGACTCAAAAAAAAAGTTCAAAGTCTTTCTTTAGAAAAGCAGTCAACACTCTGAAACAATCTCGTTTAAAATTTCATATCAAAATGTTATATATCCCTCTTCATGTACGCTCCAATATTCTCTTCCCTTTTGATATAAAATCTTTCAAACAGGAACGCTTGCGCGGCGCCCCTATGATAAAGGGGAGTAGAATTGGAAGAAAGTACAGGGCACGTTTCAGCTTGGGGATACACAGCTTGGGGATCCTTCGATTACAATGGAAAACAACGTCCACTGACAACTTTTAACCCTGGCCTTTGGTTGGGGATTTTCGCAGAAACAGGAGGGTTGTAGATATTTTGATCCCTATTGAACCAGATACCAAAAAAAAAACGTTTCTGGATTCATAGAATGTCATATATATAGAGAGATTTAGTTTTGGGTTTTTTTTATGTAAATTATTAATTTGAGCTAGACTTGACTTGTGGAAAATTGGGTACCCCTGACGCTACTTGAAAAATTAATGGAACGGTATTGCTAGATTTATATTTTAAAAACTAATTAATCAGTATTTGTGTTTTTGGAATGTGATTTGATCCGAAATACCAACATCAAAAAACTACAAGGTTACTCCTAATACCCTCCGGAGTTTCGAAGCGCAATCATGAAAAAGCTCAGACGAAATAGAGCCAAAAGGAAATCCAAAAGCAATTCATGTCCATGCGTTTACTAAACGCTTGTTGTGTAGTGTGGCAGGAAGAGTACTATCGCAGACTGATGGGGTTCCCACATGAAACACCTGAAAAGTAGGGAGCACTTTTATCTTCACAAATAAGATCCCAATTGACGGGTGCGCGTCATGCGCTGTTCAAACATGAAACAATGATGAGCCTAGGAAAAAAAATTAGACTTCTGCATAGATTGAAATACTGTTTATTAAAAAGAAATGATATTCCTTGTCAACTTAAAGGGTTGTAGTTCTTGAAGTGTACTATTTTTTAAAAAAAGCTTGGAATAATACCTCAAAAAAATAAGGGTATTGCGCACGCACATTTCAGGTGTCTTCACAAAAAAAGCGTCGCTCGTTATACGGCGAATAGAGCTAAAAAATAAAAAATCGTAGCTTGAAATCACAGGTGCGCGTTACACACCGGAATTTACGGTCATTCTAAGTATTTCAATCCAAAAAAAATTCACTCCGGATCATCATGTTCTAATTTTAACTCTGCGTATTTTTCAATTTACTCTCTTCCTATATATATATATATATATATATATATATATATATATATATATATATATATATATATAAAGGGTGTTTTTTTAGAGGTATAGAACTTTAAATTGCAATAAAACACCGATGTATTATTCGATTGACATGAATTTTTTTTTATTCGAAAGATAATCTTGTGGCATTACATTTTAAATATGATTTCTGGCATAGGGCTGCCACGGCTGGATCGGATGTAGTCCAATCTGGACGTCCAATTCTCGATGACTTCATAAGCGAATTTTGTTTAGCGATGAAGCGCACTTCTGGTTGAATGGCTACGTCAACAAACAAAACTGCCGCATTTGGAGTGAAGCTAATCCACAAGTGTATGTGGAAACACCGTTACATCCAGAAAAACTGACTGTTTGGTGCGCTTTATGGGCTGGTGGAATCCTTCTTCAAAAACGATGAAGGCCAACACGTTACAGTCAATGTCGATCGGTATAGAGCCATGATTACTAACTTTTTCATTCCTGAATTGAACAATCATGATGTCCAGGAGCTGTGGTTCCAACGAGACGGCGCAACATGTCACACAGCTCGTGCCACAATCGATTGATTGAAAGACACGTTTGGTGACCGCCTAATTTCACATTTTGGACCTGTGAATTGGCCTCCAAGATCTTGTGATTTAACACCGCTAGACTATTTTCTGTGGGGCTATGTAAAGCCATTGGTCTATGCGGATAAGGCACAAACGCTTGACCATTTGGAAGACAACATTCGCCGTGTTATTGCCGATATACGACCACAAATGTTGGAAAAAGTCATCGAAAATTGGACGACCAGATTGGACTACATCCGAGCCAGCCGTGGCAGTCATATGCCAGAAATCATATTTAAAATGTAATGCCATAAAATTATCTTTCGAATAAAAAAATTCATGTCAATCGAATAATACATCGTTTTTTTATTGCAATTTAAAGTTCTATACCTCTAAGAAAACACCCTTTATATATATATATATAGAAAGAGAGAGAGAGAGATCGTTCAAATTTTTAATAATCAATAAAATACTTTCTATTCATCCATTCAAGTTCAAATACATCTTTTTTTAAACTTGTAGTGGATGACACTTGATGTTAATACAGTTGTTTTCAAGTATTCATTCATTCGTTAAATTAAACAATTAATAAATATTAACAAACAAATATAATAATCCAACAGAATATATAGAAAGCAAAATCGTTCCTTGTGTCCCTGTAGCGCAATGAATAACCGCGCGCGCGTTGGACTTCTAATCCAAAGGTCGTGGATTCAAACCCCACCTGAAATGGGCTAATTTCTAAAAATGTGTGGGTGTGTGTTTTTTACTATACTATTTTATTAGAATAATTAAATTTAATTGATGAGTAAATAGTTACAAACAAAGATAATAGTCCAACACCATATACAAAAAGGAAAATCGCTTTCTATTTTGCCACTTAATAGTGTGATTCTGTCATATGTATTTAAATATTTATACTAATTGTAATTATTTAATAAAAAGGAACTAGAATAAGGTTATGTTTTTTTATTACTGTGTTTAAGATCAACATATCATGTTAGTATCCTTTAAAATAAGTTGCTACAGTTAAAACATTGCTCTTTTTATATTTACATGTAATAATTCACGAAAGTTTTCTCTCGAAGTATTTTAGGTCATAATGATGTTGAGTCCTTCAAAACTTTGCGTGATAATTAATTTTTATCTTACTCGCCTAAAGTGAACTATAACCACAACTTTATCTCTCAAAAAACTAAAAGAGTTACGAGTTTTTAAATCAGGATAATGTGCAACACCAACGGATGCGGACCAATGAAAAAAGCCTTTACCATAAATCATATGTGATTTTAATAACTTTTGGTTGACCAGGACTATGAATTCGGGAGCGAAGAAATATCATTTTTGTCCCTTGTATTGCTTGTGCCCATGTTTGTTGTTCGTGCCGTGTCTTTGTGTTTTGTGTGGGATCTTCAGTAAATATTATTTTAAAACAGCAGCATGTTTCCTCATTAACCCATTCAACGAAACAATCCATCCCAAAATGTCATAGTACAAGTTTAAAATGTCTGCTGTAATATATTATATTATTTCATACATATAGTATACTACAGTTTTTAGTATTTAAAGATTGTTTCTATGTGAGAATTAAAAAAAAAAAAGATGAAGAAGTTTGCGATCACACAAATTTTGTAAATGATATATTTTTTACAGGAAATAATTAATAAAATACGATTTTATAAATTCTCCAATTTTAAAAAACTAAACGAGAGAGAATAGAGGAGGAAATATAACCGAAACTAATATGCTCCGAATTCATGATATGTAATTATATGCAAAACATTCCGCACACAAAAAAACAAAAGTATTCCATTGACCTCAGCGCATGAATTTTTTCTCTATAAATTTCTTTTTTTTTTTTTTTTTTTTTTTTTTTGCTTTAAACCCCCGCTCCGTCAGGTTGAAAAATAAACTGCAAAAAAAAGAAAGAAATGAAAATAGAGCTCACAGAGAACGATTTATTCCTCAACTCGACTTGCAGTGCAGCGCCCTCTGGCAGCGAAGCGAAACGGCATTTCATTATGCAAAAGCATCTCTACCTCATTACCGAATCTTTGAAGGCGACGCATGCATTTACAGGATCTACATTTACGCGTTGTGTCCCTTATGGATTTGAAAAGCGGATTCGCACGTAGCCGAGATATCGGCGGAATGGAACAATTATGGCGATGGCTGGGCTGCAGGGAGTTCAACTGAATGATCCTGCTAATCGAAATGGATTAAATTGAGAATGAAATCTTCCCCACAGTTATGGCTAGAGGGGGGAGGGGATGAATAATTCCGGTCACATCATCGCCTGGGATGATTAGAGATTAGATTTGTTTTAAAGATTGAAGATCTGTCAGCATTTTACAAGACACGGTTAGGAGTCGTTGGGATTTCCTGAAGTAATTAGGTGACCTTTTCAAGTTTCATAGCTCTAAATTAACGTTGGCCGAGCACTGATAACTCGACTTTCTCTGATAATGCAGAAGATATTTAAATATGAATTGCATTAATGCGATCATCTCTATTACAAATGTAAGCATGCAATTTTTTTCTCTTTAAATTGATTATTCAAAAAATTAATCAATTCTGAAATCGCACATCTGTAGAAATGATAAGCAAATGACATATATACTGACTAAACATTTTAATGCTGACTTTCAATATTTATTTAGTATCCACAGTTGCGGTCACGGACTCGTAGTGTTCGTGTCGTGAATTCTGCCACTGAAGACACGGGACTGCGGTAGCCCAGTGGTCAAGGTATCGGATCATGGCAGGCATGTCATGAGTTCGAGCCTGGTACCACTAAAGACCCACCGTGTAGGGCAGCGATGCACGTTAAATCTGTCGAGAGTTCAAACGTCCTCCCGTTGGTGTGTTGTGGTAGTCAGGAGAGAGGGGTGCCAGCTCAGGTGTCGTCCACGTCACTTGACCATGGTTTAAAATTGCGTGGTCCGTCGCCAAAAGCCCTCGTGTAGCTGAACAGTGCGACGTTAATATTCACTCACTCACGCCACTGAAGACACTCCTCGTAGAGGGTCTGTTATACGTTAAATCTGCGGAGGCTCAAAGTCATCCCGTTGGTGTAATGCAGAAGTTAGGAAAAAGGGTTTGCCATCTAAGGTATTGTCCTCGTCATTTGACCCTGATTCAGAATTGCATCCATTTCCAATGGCTTTACTGTGCGACGTTAATAAACATTCCCTCGATATTTATTTTTTTGAAAAACAGTTACTACCACAGCTGCTGTTAAGTGAGTGAGTGAGTTTTGTTTAGAAGCATATTCTTTGGAGACATTTATGTATATTCGGACCCATCAAGAATAAGTATGTCTTGTTAAAAAAGAATAAATTAATGATAGAAAATATATTAGAATCTCTGGAATAAATTAATCCTATTAGGGATAATGTCTCGTCATTTACTTTAAAATTGAGTTTGTTTATAAATAATTGACAGATTGACAGTTTTTTTAACCTCACATTCTTAAGCAACACGAGGGCTGTTGGCAACGGAGTTTTGTGTCTTGTCGAATAGCAAGAACGCGCGCCATTTAAGCTTACTATCATCGCAATGGCCTGGAGGTTGCTGCCTCGAGCTAATGGCCGGCATGTCCAGCCTTAATGCTGTGACAGTGGTCAAAGGAACGGAACTCGTGGCTAGTGTGTCATGAGTTCGAACCTGGTACCACTGAAGACTCGCCGTGCAGAAGGGGCTAATGCACGTTAAATCTGTCGAGGCTCAAACATCCTCCCATTGGTGTGGTTTGGAAGTTAGCAGACGGGGGTTCCAGCTCAGGTATCGTCCTGTCCTTCGATCATGATTCAAAATGACGAGGTCCACCGCCAAAAGCTCTCGAGTAGCTGAACAGTGCGACGATAATATTCACTCGAGCCTCGCTGCTACTGAAGACCCGCAGTACCGATGTCCTAATGTTTGAAAGGTGTGGTAGCCTGGAGACCGATCAGGTGCAGTCACTTGACCGAGGCTCAAAGTGACGAAATCTGTCGCCTTCCTGTTGCTTTATAGAGCAACAGTCCTTCTCCCACTTCCACACATCACCAATTACTTATTTAACGTGGAACAACACGACGTGCCTTTATTTGCATCGGCAGACGAACACACCGGAAGCATCTCGTGTTTACGATAATATCCACTCACCATTCCAGGAAAGTTTTAATAGTTTCTGTCGCAGTAAAAAAGGAAACCAAAAGAATTTAAATAATTATGAAACCGAGGGGGCGAGGAGGGTGAGTAGATTCTACCAATGAGGTCTCAGGTTTTTGACTCATCTTCCTAGTGTTGTTCTGGGGAGTTAACTCAGAAAATAAACTATGCGTTGATGCTCGCGGACGCTCTGGTTTCATTTTCACCAAAGAAATCTAAAACGAAAATGTCTGTTAAAATTTACTGTCTCGACTTTCATAAAACAATCTGTATGTTTCCTTCCTATGAAAACAATCCTTTAACTTCTACAAATGAGTGTTTAAGTGGGATTTTTTTTAATTTTCAATTTTATCTTGATAAAACGAAAATCGATCCAGGTTTCACACATTTTAATTTTTATTAATAAAATAGAATTAAAAATGCTTACAAAACATTCATTTTAAGAATGATAGACAGATAGGAATAGAGAAAATATATATAATATCTGCTTTCTCCAAAATCAATTTTTGTACCAGCATTGTAGCAATATTTTATTCTATATTATTAGAAATTTAAGTTTTATTGTTTGAAACTAAAAACTCCCCCTTCCCCATTGATTCTGCTGTTTGAATAATAAATTATTAATCATTTTTTATGCGTTATAGGCCTAACTGCCGCTTCAGTATAAAACGTTACTAGTTAACCAACGTTGATATAATGGATTGTTGCCAATCTGGTAAAGCAAAAAAAGTTACAAAGAAATTGTTTCCAGATTTACAAGTATAATTTTAAAAATTAACTAAATAATATTTACAATTATAAAATATTAAAAAAAATAAGTACAGCTATTATTTACATTTTAATCCGTTACAATGCTTGATGAGAATTTGAATGTTTCCTACAGGAATGCAATTTTTTCTTCTTTTTTTTTCTTTTTGTATCGTTAAAAATGAATACAATTCTTAGTCTGATCTATTGCCTCTATAAACACACAAGAAAATGTTATAAGTAGCTTTCAATTAAAAGAATTGCAGAGGAATATAACTTTGAAATAGAAGTTATTTAATTGCTTCAAAAATAAATGATTCATTTGAAGAAGAATTTTGAAAAATCTTAAGAGCAACCTCCTACGTCATCAAATGGGAAAAATTTAATTTATAATATTTTGCAAGACTTTCCACCCCAACACGGATTCAAACAGAAATAGAATAATGTATATATACACTAATCTTTCAAAAATTTTATTTAAAAATATTCAAAATTTTATAAAGCGAAAAAAACACAATTAGAAAAGAATTATAACAATGCAAACTAAGCAATGCGATATAAATAACATAACTTTAAAAGTAAGATTAGATCCAAGCAAGAATATAAAATATGTTTACTGTCAAATGGTATTCTGAAAGAAATAAATTGGCTTGATTATTCAAAGACAACTTTATTCTTCAATAAAAAAGAAAATATTATTTTGAAAAAATCAAAGTAAACTCCACGCGTTAATTTTTTCTTCTTTTCTATTCCTTTTATAAATTTTTCTTTAAAAAAATTTCTTAATTGCCTGTTGTTTTTCACCTTACTAAACTTCTTTATGGTATCTGTCT